CACCCCCTCCCCCCAGCACAGTAGCAGGCTGAGCCATCAACCCCCTCCCCCTGCTAACACTCCCCCCCCCCAGCGCAGGAGCAGGCTGAGCTAACCCCATACCAGTTCATCACCCATGTAGGGGATCATGCTTCCAGGCTCTAAATTGTAATGGCACGCTCGTTTTGTTACATTGATAGGTGATATATTGCCTAATGATAAATTAATTTAAGTAGATTAATTTAAGTAATTTAATTTCATGATAAATCCAAGTAACGTGTTCGCAGCAGTTTTGACAACCGGTCTCACTGTCTTTGCCAAGATGACGTCGCATGAGCTAGCATAAGGCACATCCCTAGACCGAGAAGGATTATGAAGAACCTGTGGCTGTATATAGCTGCTGTGCAACTTGCTAATCTGTTCTAACCAACTAAAATTTCTAGAGAAAATCACATTTTAGATGTCGCTTTTCCGTAAGAAACGTTTTTTTAGAAAGATTTTTCCCGTGTTGACCCCGTGTTGACGCTATTGCACGCTCTGCCGCAGGCCTATCGGGTCCCGTGCCGCGCGGCAGGAAGGGGCGGAAGAGCAAGAAGGAGCTGGCGCCCTCTGTTTCTGAACATAACGCCACCTGGATCACCAAGTTTGAACCCGAGATTCTGTTCCAAGACAACGGCTACAAGAAACATCTGCGTCGCCATGCCAACAAGTGAGTACAGACGGACAGCGTTCCCGAAACACGCGAGTGTGTGATTCGATTACAGACAAACCTGTGTTAGCAGCCACCTCTATAGAACGGCCACCTGTGTATAAAGTCCACATTTGGCTTTTCTCCTGAGTGGCGGTTAGACATGAAACGTGTCGCACTCGTGCGTGTAGGTGTTGCTGCAGTTGTGATTGTAGATGGATTGTGATAACACATGAATCAAGCTCTATAGAATAGATGTAAATGCGTGTAAAGGATGGTGTTAGGAATTTCTGCTCGAGTGACCTTACTATAGAAGTTTGACTGCGTGACTGGATTTAGGCACAAGGATATAATTACTGAAAAAGGAGTAATCATGTGCGTCGTGTTTACTGATGATGATATTATTCCGTTGTATACTAATGATATGTATGTAATATCATGTATAATATATAATATGTATGTATGTAATGATGTATATGTAGTGTAAATTAATATAATGAAAAAATACTGATGCAGGTACACCACCGATTTTCCCGAACCCTTGGTTCCAAGGCTTTTCCGGATTATCCGTTTTTCCGGACCAAAGGAGGTCACATAATAATAATTCAACAATACACCTCTGAGCAACTAAATACCTCCCATGTCTCTAATATGGCTCTAATATGGCTAATATCTCTAATAACATGAATAAAGGTCCATCATTTCATGACCATGCGCTGCTAGAAACTTAAATTGAACAAATTTATTTGTGATGTCTTTGTTTTTTATCACTGACACTTGCACCTGCCTTAGAAGCCATAGCTAGGGTAAAATTTGAGTAAAATAAGGTGTGAATTGCATAAAATCAAGAGCTCACCACCAAATGCTGCAGTTTAAACAATTTAAGGAGAGTGCGCCGCCCGCAGCGCCATCTGTGGCCACCCGTTAAACTAATAGGAATTTCAAACGAATTTTATCTCGATAAAAAGTGATTCCGGACCATCGGTGTCCGGAAAATGGGTGGTGTACCTGTAATAATGATAATAATGAGAGGGGCGTGGGGAGTGGAGGATCGTGGGTCATGATTGAGGGGGGAGGGGTCATAGGGGTGGAGCATTGATTGACGCATGCTGATGATGGCTTTGTGTGTTACAGGGTGCTGCTGCGGGTGCGACTACTCTACTACATCTGGCTGGAGGTGATCGGCCGGGAGGCTGACAAGGTGCTGCGTGGGCTGCCAGCAAGGTGCGTCTTACTCCCTCCCTGTACCCTCACAGTGTGGACCAGGGTAAAAAAATACACGGCAGCGATGAGAGATTCGCTCTTCAAACCTCCGAGGCTCCCGTGAGGCTCAAAATTGCTCCCGTAATATTATTGACGA